GATCTAGCGTCTGTCGCAAGTGAGGAGTCGGATCCGTCGTCTATCGCAGATGAAGATTCTATATCGCATGCTGTAACGGTCAAGGAGACGCGAGAAGATCTCGATCAAGTGACGTCAGACATGTGGGCGACTAATCCGTCGTTGGAGGAAACTACAGACGTAGTGGAAACGCGAGAAGATGAAGGCCGAGACGGAATTGGAGTTGCCAGTCAGGATCAACTACATCGAGAGGTCAAGATCAAGGAACATCACCGTCGAAATGCGGCGGGTCAGATCCGTCATCAATGATGAGTGTACAATCTGGGACGGGACATGTGGCCAGTGATCCGTTGAACGACAAGTGCGCCGCATCTATGTCGCAAAAAACGGACATGGATCCATCACCAGTTGTTGAAGATCAACCAGGCGTATCGGATCTGGACCTCACCTGGGACTCAGATCAAGGCTATGATGAATGTGTATACTACCATGAAGGAAGTGATCTATACGCCGAAGACGTCAACGGTCAGATGGCGGTACTCCCTGAAGTGCCCGTGACGAGGGAAGATGTGAAGATCGAGGACATTCAGCTATGGGGATCTGATAATCAGACCCCAGAAGAAAGTGATCGACTCCGCCAAAGGATCTGGAAGTTTCGACACCTCTTGATCGGCAAAGGAAATTCCCTTGCGCCGGCGGCCAGAGGTGTGGTGTGCGGCATTGATGTCGGAGGAGCGAAGCCTATCGACCTGAAGTGTCGCAAGTTGTGAATCCAGTTCAGGGGGAAGCTGACGGACTTGATCAAGGGTCTGTTATCTGCCAAGATGGTCAATTACTCTAGATCACCGTGGGCTTCCCCGATTGTCGTGATGATCAAGAAGAATGGTGTGGATATCAGGTTGTGCATCGACTACCGGCTGGTTAATAGTCTAACTCAGCTGATGATCTACCCAATGCCCTTGATCAATGACCTACTGGAAGATCTAGAGGCGACACTCTGGTACTGTTCTTTGGATATGGCGAGTGGATTTTGGGTAATGGGTAGTGAAAATGACGGATCGCGCTCGTTTGATCTCGGCTTTTATTACTCCCTTTGGATTATTTGAATGGAATTGAATGCCATTCGGCTTGAAGAATGCGCCCCAGATCTATTCAACATATGGTCGACAACGCGCTATATGGATTCACCCGGATCCCGAAGTCCGAAGATCACAGACGTACTCTGGATGTGTTTGAAGACGGGGAACCGGTTGATCCAGGCAAGCCATCGGTGCTTGGTCGCAGGTCAGATATCGATGACATCCTGATCCCCGCCAATAAATAGGATCAACTATGCGATCAAGTCGAGGGTTTACTCGAAGCGTGTGATAAGTGGAATCTGTCGGTGAGTGTGGTCAAAAGTTTCTGGGGAATGCCTAAGGTGGAATATCTGGGTCATAAGGTCTCCCACAATGGACAGGAGGCGAATCCGAAAGATCTGTCGGCATTGACGGATCTAGCATTCCCGGGATCACTTAGAGCCATGCAGTCATTTTTGGGAAGTCTGAACTATTACAGCCGATTTATCGAAGACTACGCGATCTATGCGTCAGTTCTGTATGAACTGCAAGAAATCGACTTTGCTGCGATGATGAAGGAGGCTACCCAAGTGCGGATCCAACAAGTGTTGGAGACGGAGAACGTGGATCAAGGATCGCCGGAAGATCAGGTGGTCGACCACCGAAAGACTTTGGATCTGGATGCGTCAGATCTTACTGAGGTGGATCCGCGTTGGATCCATGCCCATCCGCTCTTCAGTGTACTTAAAGCCAATCTCGCTGCTACTCCGATCTTACGGCACTTTGATCCAGATCGGAGAGCCGCGGTCGTGGTGTATGCTAGCGATTGGGCCATTTCGGGATCATTGATTCAGGAATACGACCAGATCTACTCCCCCGTGATGTTTGCGAGCCGTACTCTGAAGTCGAATGAGCTGGGTTATGGCATCGCGGAGAAAGGGGTATTAGTCCTCCTGATGATCCTGGATCTTAACTACAACGCACTGGTCGGATGTCCGATCCACGTGTTGACCCGACACTCTATTTGGCGTGGCCCTTCAGATCCACAGCCCTACATGGACGTCTAGGACAGTGGGCTGCTCTGTTGTCGCCCTGGACTCTTGAGGTCACCAAGTGTGTCAAAGGAGAGGATGAGATCTTAGGAGCATTGGCAGCCAGTATTACCCCTAGATCTGAAGTGGATAAGGCATTGACCTCTATTGCCCCGAAAAAGGAGCCAAGACGCAAGATCCAAGCTCCGGTCCCCACTATTAGATGCGATGAGGAGCTATACGTCGTTAGTTTCGATGGATCTGCTCGCGGCAAAAGAGGTGGAGGCGCCTACAGCGCGATCTTGTGGAAGCTGCCCGAATGGAGGGTGTTGAAGGCTAGATATGGGTACGCCGAAGGCTTGACGGTGAACGAGGCGGAATACCATGGACTGTTGTTATGGTAGGATCTGTTGGAAGATCTGGATCCACGACGTCTGGTGATTTGCGGAGACTCGAACCTGGTGATCCGACAAGTACGAGGTGAGATCGACTGCAAGGCGCCGGGTTTAACACTGTTGCGCCAGCGGGCTTTGGATCGACTCCGTGCTTGGCCGGATCACGAGCTATTGCATGTTAAGCGAGATTGGAATGGGAGTGCCGACAGCTTAGCAAGTGCCGTACTACAACGACAATGTGGGATCGAGGTCGAGACCGAGGAGGAGATCCAGGATCTAGTGACCTTGAACCGGTTGGATGAGATCCTGATAGTGAAGATCGAAGATGAGATCGCATAGATATCTGCCGTAACGACCCGATACAAGGCTAGATCTGGAGTGCGTATTGGATCTGATCCAGATTCACTACGGGAGGAAGTTATGAGAGAGCTGAGGATCGAGCGGTTCCGGTAAGCACAGGACGAGGAGTCGTGGATCTCGGGTCTGAAGAAGTATTTGGTTGGAGAGATCCGGGATCTGACACAAGAGGATGCTAAGGTGTTTGGATCTATTGCCATAAATTACGAAGTGGATCAGTCGGATCTACTCTTCTACTGCCCGACAACTAAGAAGGCAGCGGCGGATCGAGACAAGTTGATGCGATTGGTGATACCTGGGACGCTTCAACAGGACATTTTACATCACTATCACACGAGCCTACAGGGTGGCCATCAAGGGATCGGTCGCACCTATGATCGGATCCGTGATCATTTCCACTGGAGAGGGCTGGCGACATACCCATTCCAGATCATTGTTATGGATCACATACCTTCGCTACCTAGATCCTTCAATGGCAACACCGAATTGTTGATCTTCGTGGATCTATTTTCGGGTATGTGATTGCCAAAGCCAGCGCCTCTAGATCCGCTTAAACAATCGCGGAGACCTATGAGGAATGTGTTTTCCGCAGATTTGGTGCGAGCGAGGTGATCCGGCATGATCGGGAGCCAGGCTTTATGTCTGACTTCTTTGAGTCCTTCAACAAGATCTTGGGTCAACGTCAACGTGCTACTATGGCTTATCGACCCCAAGCTAATGGATCCGCAGAGCGTATGGTTCAGACAACTACCAGGGGCTCTTAAGATGTATGTGCAAGATCTGGATCAATGAGATTGGGACGAATACGCTGAACGGCTGACCTTCGTGATCAATACCGCAAGAGATCGGATCCGAGGTGAAACCCTTATCTACATGATACACGGTTGGGATCCTAGATCCACTTTGGAAGCGGTGATCCCGGTGGGGAGCACTCGCAGACATGATCGAGATCCAAGAAGATGGCGATATCAGATGCAAAAGTACTACCAACAATCTCGAGAACAAGTGAACCAACGTTTACGCGAAGCAATTGTGAATCGGGCCGACACACACAACGATCTAGTACGTCCTCATCCTGTAGAGTCCGGATCAAGAGTCTGGTTGTACCTGGATCGAGTGCGTGCAGTGAGGTTGGAGATCGCAGGATCAACATACAGCATCTTCCCGGTAGTGCATGTGTCAAACTGGTCAAGATATTCCCAAATCGACCAGTAGCTCGCCTAGAACAGTCAGAAGGAGATCGGGTGGATTTCGATGAAGTTCTCTACCTGAAGGCAGCTGGATCTAGGATCGAGATCCAGATGAATACGAAGTGGAGCGAATTTCCGATATGAGGACTGGCAAGAGGACTAGATATGGACGGATCTACCGAGAATTTCTGGTACACTGGCGTGGATATGAAGATCCAACCTGGGTAGATGAGGCAGATCTCAACTGCGGTGCTCTTCTCTACGAATTCTTGTGAGATCGCACTAATCGCAACCGTTTTGGTGTGATACAATCTCACGAGGAAACGTGAGATCTGGATCCACACTGGTGAGCTGGTCATCGGTGTGGCTGAAGGTTGACGGATCTGCAAGGGGTTGCAGATCGGAGGACGGGGTTTACGTGACGTTGTATATGATGACATGTCGATGGAGGATCTGTGCGGAGAGAGATTGATTCATAGATGGACATGGATTGAGCAGGGACGAATTTCGATTATGGATCTAGGACAGTATTACCTGAAATAGTATGGATCAAATAGCGAACGACGAGTGTGAAGGTACTGGAGTGAAGATCTGTGCGAATTAACGCAGTTAGAAACTTGGCGGAATCAAAGGAGACTGACGAACTCAGATCAGAGAATAAGAAGACATGTATTGCGGTTAACGAAGTGATCTGAAAGTAATACAAGGAGTGGTGTCAGGGTCACGGCTGAGGATGAAACGATCTTGGAGGGCGACGCGCTCTGCTGACTGTTGATCCAGCTTGGATCGTAGATCCGATGATTACGGATCTGGCGAGTGTTTGGCGACCAGCAGATCTGCCTCGGTCCGATCCAGGGCCAGACACGTATGGCGAAGCACTCCCTCGGTAACTTGTAACTAATCCGTGGCTTGATCGCGGGCGCGATCCGCTGTGTCACGCTGTTCCTGTAGATCCAGATCTCCGCACCAGCGTGTCCTCGCTCTTGCAGCAGCTGATTGACTTGCGACTCTAGATCCGCGACCTGAGCTTCGAGAGCGTGTACGTCAGCTGCGGAGAGTTGCGGATCCGGAGGAGTGGGGCACCCGCGTTCACCGATACTTGCAGACCATCTCGCTCGGCCCGAAGTCCGTTGATCGTCTGCTGCATGTGTGCGATCACTCGATCCTGCTCTTGGATGTAGTCGCGGAGGTCATCCAACCGATCTTTGCGCTCTACCGACGGCGGATCCGAGCCGCGAGGCAAGGTCTGGACCACCAAAGCGGCCGTGAGCTCACCCACACGACGGAAGAGGCGCGTGGCATAGCGATGGAGTGCCTCACGCGTACTGTGGGGATCGAAGACGAATCCCAGCGATCCACCACTCGAGGATCCGCTTGGGCTTGGAGCGTTGGACATCGTGATGATCGGAGATCTGCGACGAGCGAAGAATAAGAAGAAGATTCTGCAGTGATTCTGTTTGGCAGCAACGACTACAGACAGGAGGCGATTGTGGTGAAGTGGATTCCGAGAAATTACGGACAGGAAGTGATCGGATCAAGGGAAGTGACGGGTATGTCTGGATCTGTAGCGACTACCGCGGATCCAGATCTGAGAAGGTCTGATGGACTCAGATCAACTGATTCTGAGGTGATTGGGTCAATCTGGGAGAACCCAATTATAGACACCTGATCTGGGTATGATTATACCTGATCCAGACATGATTACCCAAGGCCAAGCAGGATCAAGTAAACAAGGTATGTATTCAGGGGTATACATCCAGATCCGAAGATAAGCGGCTGTTAGAAAGGAAGTATGTGGGTCCAGGTAGTAGAGGACAATACAAATCAGGATCAAAGGCTTAGGAATAACAGAGAATCGAATTTGCATCATTGGGCACAAGTGGTTGGTTCCTTTATTTGATCCACGCTTAGTGTACTACGGACACCTCGGATCAAGGCTTTATACTGGTTACACAAGGTGATCCCGTATTAGGAATATTGTATTTAGCGTAGATCGGATAACTGGATAATATATTGGCCAGATCCGACTACCTAATACTTA